TAGCCTTCCGTTAACTAAGCTAAACATGCTTACATTAAAATGCCTAAAGCTAAACCTCCCTTGTATTCACATTTCTAAACCTGTTGTCCAACAAAAGAGAACATTATAACCTTTTTACTCCACAACACCAGTCAGATACTTCCTTTTGTGATCTGATGAGGCTTCTTGTCACAGAATGAGGCAGAAAATATGTTTCATATGCTACTTTAAAAAGAATACATTGATTCGCAATGGATTATGAATATACTTAATTATTATGAAAATACCAGATGGCTTGAATAACACAGATAAACTATATTGTCGAGTGTTGATTGTCTTTGTTTTATCATTCAAAACGTTTATATGTTCTGTTTACTCAGTTACAGCTATAATAGCGATGCCTTTGTCCATATAAGGGATTTCCTGGAGGGTCATGAGTTCTCTACTTCTGTGACTGGATGTGGATTTTCTGTGCGAGGGCGCCCTCTGGCATCCAGTATGATTTAAACAGACATCATGTGTTTATAGTGCTAATGGCAAGTCCATCATTTTTTGGGGAATTTTTATTTATTTATTTTTAATAAGTAAGTTTAGGCACCGGAACCGTTGTAAAAGTATCGATTTGGCACCGGTATCGGAAAAAACCCAAACGATACCCAACCCTACTCGGAAGGCTGCAGTCTGCTGGAGGATTCGGCACTGCACACACAGGAGGAGGACAGGGTTAGGAAAGTCTGTGAGCGGTGTTTAGTTGTGTTGATGTGCAGCCAAATCATAGTGATATCCGCAAACTCAACCTAGCACATGATCGCTGACCATTTCGTCCAGAGCCTGCGCTGCTAAATGTTGGCAATGATGACCGTATTTCGAATGTGTGACCGCATACCTCTGCCGGGTTTAGAGCTCCACCGACATCTCTGGGTTTGGTAGGATGAAGAATGCAGGCCACGCTGATGTTATTGTGATGTGCAGCGGATCTAGTGAAGTCTGCAGCGTTACGTGATCGACTAGAGTCTGTGTGGGGCGTCACCAACTCTACAGCATCTACACGCTGTTTGTGTTGTTCATGAGGCCTGTTAAAGATGGCAAGTCTCATGAGATGTTTAAAGTTATTAGCCAACTTCAATATGAAAACTAGCCAACTCTTTACTTTTCCAATTCATGTCTTGTTGTAAATGCTTTATATTACAAAAAAAAAAAACAGTTGATAAAATTATATTTCATAAAATTTCTCTTTCTTAAACTTGTGTTCCTTAAATTCTGAAGCACTCATATGAGCGTGTGTGATGTCTAGTGTTTCACGTGCCCCTCACTGAGCCTCGCGGATTCATGACGAGCTGTTGAAAAGCTCAAACAAAGCCGTGTTTTCATCCATGTCCGTGCCGCTGCTACAGGTCCCTCACTAATGCACACTTTCTGTTCAGTCTGACTGAATAATCAGCTAATGTGTGCTGTGGATTCAGATCCTGCTTCAGCAGGAACCCATAAAAAGAGCAAATAACTTTCCTAACTCGGGTTGACATGTCTATGAGAGAGCACGGAGAGAGATGCGAGAGACGTGTGAAGCAGCGCTGGTCTGTTGTCATCATAGTCATTATACAGTAATGTATGATCACTCAATGCAGTGAGGAGCAGAAATGAACCAGAAAACACTGAACGTGTGTGTGTGTGTGTGTGTGCAGCTCTTTGTTTGACGCACAGTGTTTGGTCGTTTGCACCTCTCAGAAGGCACTTCTCATTGCAGTTTAAAGTCTGGCTTGTTTCATTATTCCAAGTGCAAAAGTTAGCACTATTTTTATTTTTTTTTAAATCACAGGTATTTTAACAGCTAACAACTATTTTTTTAAATATCACCCGATTAATCTGCTGGTATATTGTTTGCCACTCTTTCTTCCCATATTCACTGCTGGGAATAAAAACAGGAGACATGGAGTTAGGGAAGTTATAAAGAACAAAATGAATAAATGTTTTAATTAGGCCTAATTGCTGTTAAATTTAACAAGTTTCATTATTAATTAGACATGCTTTTGGATTACCAAAATTATTTTTACAGGTTAAAACCGATAAAATGAAAAAATGCAATCAAGTCCAATTAAAACAGAATAAAATAATGCTTCATACTGAAATGATCTGGACTGGAATTCTTGCTGTTCATCCTGTTGATTCTGCTGTGAATTAGGTCACTTTATTTGCGGTCTTTATTAGTCATAGAATAGTGTTTGTTTGAATAGGTTTCAATAACCACTAATCACAATGTGTGGTAACGAATCCTTTCGTTATTAGATCCCCACCTTCAGCAGGGTTATTCATCACGGGTTAAAGGTTGTGGCTTTTTTGATGGAGGGGAAAAATATTAGTAAAGTGCTGCCAAGTTATTAGGCGTATAATACAGTATGTCCTGCATCCACTGGCCATCAATACACTCCACTCAATGTCACATATGAATCCCATCAACACTCACTCATTTGGTCAAGGACACAAGCTTCACGTGCCCTTCAGCCGAACGAATATCCTGAAGAAATGTGCTGGTGTGGAGTGAAGAGAGATCCTTCTGTCGGGATCTTTGACAGATTTCTCCTGTACTTTTGTCCTCGGCGTGCAGCGCTGCCATTGAACACCTCAAACAGATGTCAATACGGCACCCGGCTCCTGCGCTCGCATCGAACCGCTGCTTGCTTTTTCCACAGTCCAAACCAGAGCTTTATGTGCGCTGGACAGGATGTTGTAAACTCCTCACATTGTCATTGTGAAGTCTCTCTGTGGATGTCAGGCCGGTCGTTTATTTCCCAGGAGCTGTAATGGCCGGCTGTCTCCGTCATGGCTTTGTTTCTGTGGAGGAGGGACACTTCCTGTGTTTGACCTTTCACAGACACAAGGACAGCAACTGTGCTGCTGTCTCGAGCTCAGGACTGTTTTCATGTTTACAGTTCATTTGCATTAGCCACTTGTACATCATGTATGGTTATATTAGGGATATCCCAATCAGGTTTTTGTTGTGCCCACAGTCACTGAATATTGAGTATCTGCCAGTACCAAGTTCTGATCAGATACTTGTATGTTTCTAGTGTTTGATGCAGAATTCAAGTACATTAAAGCTATTAAAATCAATCCAATGTTTGTGCAGACAGTAAAAGTAATATACGTGTGTGTGTGTGTGTGTATACAAGATGCACTGTTTTATGTGCACAAACTTTATAAAGACATTGAGTCTACTGATGTAAACGTTTTGTATTTTATATGTACAATAAGCAGAACAATTGCAACATAAAGGTAAAAAGTGGAGATATGGTTCGAAAGCATGAAGCTTGCGCTGTCACAATGCCAGTCTGTCACTCAAATCCGAAGCAAGACGCAATCCATAGCAATGCATTATGGCAACAACATCTCTGTGTCTGACGGCAGATAAACGTGAACGATAAATGAGTGAGTGGTCATTACAAAAGTGCGCATCAAAGACACTGAACACGGAAGCTCAAACGTGTGATGCGCTAGAACAGCCCTCACTAGTTCTCATGCGTCACGCTCCCACATTTCTTCTTCTTTTGGTTTAATGGCGGCTAAACACATTTGAGCATCGCCTTTAACTTGTAATGGCGGTTGGCAAATCTACCGAAAGGAGAATATTTGAAATTTTAACTATGACATGAGAACAACTTTTACTTGAAGATAAGTGCTAAAATATTACTATACTTCCAAGCGTTTTCATTTTGGCCGCGAGTGATTCTTCATTGCATGTTACTCCATACTCAGACATATTCATGCGTGTGTTTATCTGCGATTGCAGGAGCCGTTCGAGGATGGCTTTGCTAACGGCGAGGAGCTGACTCCTGCAGAGGAGGCCGCGGCTAAAGAAGCCTCCGAGTCTAAAGGAGTGGTGAAGTTCGGCTGGATCAAAGGAGTGCTGGTAAGAGGAGTTAACATCAGATCAAACATGCTTCAGCAGAAGTCAGCGCAGCAGTTAATGGCATTTGTCTCAGAATTGTGGCACCCACACAAAATCCAAGATGGGAATGAATATAACGTGGGCGATGAGTGAGATTTTTCTGCTGTGGGTGATAATTGTTTTTTTATTAGTTTGCTATATCTGCTGCCTGTAGAGACTCCTATTAGAGGCTGAATGTTAAACTGTCATGCTCTTGTAATGTTTAATATGCTAATACTCTCAACAAGCCGTGGCTTTGCTCAGTGCAAACCGTCTTCCTCGCTGACGCGTGTGAATCCAGTAAAAGCTTTATGGTTCACAGATCAGCTCTGCTTCTCTTCTCTTGGTCAATATTTTGACAGGTCTTCCTTGTCCTTAAAATTGTCCTCATTTTCACCTTCCCAGTCTTAACATTTGACACCAAACAGCTTCTCATAGTGTTGACAAGTGAAAATTCATTTTCATCCAAAGTGTCTTTCAAACCACGGCAGGAATTCAGTCAATCTTTGAAACCGGTTTGTGTTCAAATGTGCTTGAAGGACTGATCCGGGTTCTCCGTCGACAGGCTGTGTGGTGTAATGTCCGTTACCTCAGAAGAAAACTTCTGCTCATCCTTCAGTAAAAACAAAACGGTAAAACGTTTTAGGTATAGTTTCACTTACACTGGAAGTACATGAGGCCAGTTAGTGAACATTACAGCATACGCTGTTCAGTATCGCCACATGACTTAAACATTGAATGTTTACCTCATGTTCATATGGAAGTAGTGTAAAAGAATCGCTTGCTGATGGAGTAAACTCACCCACAGGAATTACAGTAATAACACACAGGCAAAAGTGTATCCATCTGGAACTGTTGTCACGCCACTAAAAGATTATTTTGGAATAGTTTGTATCAAATAATAAACTGCTTCGGCAAAACCCACTGCAGCTCTGGGCAGGTTTGTTTGTCCTGTAGAAGTATTGCTGTTATACTGGTAAAGTCTTTTGTGGTAACGGACGTGACGTCACGCCACACATGCCATCGATAGCCGTCAGCCCGCAGCTTTCCTTCAAACACAGATGGGTTCCTGTCCAGCGCTCATCGTCCCGGTGAATGAGGTTTGAGAAACGGCTTTGGTCCTTGATGTTTTTGTCAGCATGAGTCTAAACTGCATCCTTCCTCTGTGCAGGTGCGCTGCATGTTAAACATATGGGGCGTGATGCTCTTCATTCGAATGACATGGATCGTGGGCCAGGCTGGAATTGGTAGGTTTGACTTTGGTCGGCCGTGTGAATTAGCACTTCAATTCACAAGCACACTCTTGTGTTTTCCATCGAGCTACAGTCATTTCTCATGCACATGTTGAATGTGGCTGTGAGGCGCTGTGAGCGGTCAGCTGTCATTTAGCAGCTCCAACACTGGAAATGCACTGCATACAGTGTGAAGCCAGCCGCAGACGGCTAGTGTTTAGTGCTGAACCTGATAACCATGAGTCGTGGAAACATTCACTGTCATTTCACCTTTTTATTTCCACAGCGTATTCCTGCATCATTGTTGTTATGGCCACTGTTGTGACTACCATCACGGGCTGCTCGACCTCTGCGATCGCCACCAATGGCTTTGTACGAGGAGGTAATTAAAAAAAAGTGCATTAGCACCGTGTGCATTATTTCAACTGTGAATTTCACTGGTGCAAAAACCATTCAAAGGGTGCCTGTTGTGGAACTGTTACACACAAATGACACAATGTGGATAAATGCTGATATTCCATAAACATCCAATTGTTTACTGTACACAAGTGACCCCAACAGGGTTGACATTGTAAGCTCATCTACGGGCAGATGTAAAATGCATAACAAAAATGATAGAAAAAAATACTTTCTCTTGTCCTTTGAGTGCTGCCTTGTCATTTTGTTCTTTGTAGACCCGAGTAAGATATTTAATAAGAGCTCTTATTAACAAAATGACAAGTGAACACTGAAAGGACAAGTTAAAGTCTTCCTTCTATGATTTTAGTAGCCTTTATTTCCTCAATCAAATGTGGATATTTACTACACCAACAAGTTGTAGAGGTTGAAAACACAGCAGAGGACAGGCTAGACATGCACCCATGATGAGGAAAGAGGAGAAAATGGACAGATTCCCAAAAGAGATTTTGGTGGCATCAATTATTGTTACTTGGTCATTACTTGCATGTGGTTAACTTTGTTTACATACAGACTCCCGTTGTATGAACCCTATAGGGTAGAGGTATTGTTCCTGAGGTCTTCACATGAGTTTTTCTCATTTTTGGTGGCATAGTCTTTTTGAACTCCTATCTGAGTGCATGAGTGTGACGCATCTAACTGTTCTAGCACTACACTAACGGCGGATGAAGGGGCAGTAAGGTACTCGGCGTAATGCTTCCAGTTCTCACAGCCTGTGGGGAAATTCAATAGTGTTTTAAGATCTCAGTGTTTTTCTCTCAGGCAATTGTGAGGTTCGTTGGCAGTCTGGAAGGCAGAAATGGATAGCTGTCCCTCTCTACAGGCCTTCATCTGAGAGCAGGGTGATGGCACTAGAGATAAAGTTTTTGTTTCAGTGTGGAAGCAAATCAATATTTTTCCATTAGCACCTCAGGCGTTAGTTATTAACCCAGTCACGGGAGGGTGTGTGTGTGTAGGATTGGGTTTGTTTGAGATCCTCAATGATATTTAGCCGTCACTGCAACTCTTTTTAGTTTAGAGAACTGCTTTCTCACACTCATCAGAACATTACATTCACTACTTTACATATTTTGTTTTTCAGCATTGCATGCAGGATTTGTGATGCGTGTTTGTGCTAATGCTTCCCGTCACTGTAGCACACTGTAGGTGTGTAGCCGTTAATCAGATTAGGCCTAATCTTCTCTGGTATTCCAGTCATTTATTAATACATACACACTTGCATAAGTAAGATCTAGCATTAAACACTCCCTCAAGTCGATCTGTACTCGGTCTCTGTGTTTTCTCACCCCTGATTATTAGGAAAATCTTTAGACTAGGCTTGAATATGGGAGGATGTTTCAGCATAGCTGAGAGTACTTCTTTGTTATTGGTAACTTGACCCGTTATGATCTTATCCACAGGGGTACCTCAGGGTTCGGTGCTGGGCCCATTCCTCTTCTCACTGTATCACTGGGATATATCATTGAGACACACAATGGATTGGACTACCACTGCTATATCCACAACACACACTGCTCTACTTTTTACTCCTGCTTGCCAATAGACAAATTAGCCTGAATGATTCAACCGTTTATTCAGAAAGCTCTCAAAATGCAGTTAACATGAAGAACAAACACAAGGGCAGGACCAGAATCAGTTAATGATTTGAGTTCAGTGAAAGACTGTGTAGCATTTGTTTAGAATCTTGCGTCCGCAGAATGAGGCCAAAGTTGCCAAATGATGAACTGCTCTTGGATAAAGTACTGAAATAACATAACCGAATGTGTGAGTAAGCAATGCATGTATGGCCACCTTTCCTTTTCAAAAGACATGTGGGTCCTAGCAATGAACTTGAATTTGTCCAAGTGTTTGTGTGCACCTGTTCATGAAATCATGATGGTGCGATTTTCAGAATATTTTAAAGGGTCTCTTAATGATGCAACAGGATAACTGATAAATCGGCCTCGAATGGTCTTTTCAGAAAGGTGATCTGTTTAATATCTTTTCTTCAGGTGGGGCGTATTACTTAATATCTCGAAGTTTAGGCCCAGAGTTTGGCGGCTCCATTGGTCTGATTTTTGCCTTTGCCAACGCTGTGGCCGTGGCCATGTACGTCGTGGGCTTTGCAGAAACTGTAGTTGAGCTGCTCATTGTAAGAGGCGCAATTCTGTTCTCTCATACATTGTTCAGTTTGCTTTAAAATGATTGTGTGTATGCCGAATAATCATATGGGTTTGTGTCCGTTTAGAATTCCGGTGCGCTCATGCTCGATGAGATTAATGACGTCAGGATCATTGGAACCATTACGGTCATCCTGCTGCTTGGCGTCTCAGTGGCTGGAATGGAGTGGGAGGCCAAGGCAGGAGATTTAGTGTATCTTCAGTTTTCTTTGATCATCAGCCAGTGCTGACCTTATGAATTCACCATTTGTCAAAATGATTTTGTTTCACAGGCTCAAATATTCCTCTTGTTCATTTTGGTCACTGCTATCTTTAACTACTTCATTGGGACCTTCATCCCTGTCGAGTCCAAGGAGAAATTTGGCTTCTTCAGCTATGACGGTAAGAATGAGCTCATCTAGACCAGCACTTATCCAACCGGTGGGCATCAGAAAGAAAACAAAGCTGTATGTACATGATAAACTGCTATGAACGTTTTTTTTATTTATGTAAAAGGGTGTGCGTCAAATCAAACTCTACTGTGTTTGATAAACATGGTTTGTGCTGAGCACAGTGGTTTGTGCTGTGAATTACTAACTGGCAAGAATGAAACCTTAAAAAATTTAAAAGGTGGAAACCATGAAGCCAAGGCTTCTGAGATTTGCTATAGTTTTTCTTGGTATAATATAAAAAAAAATGTTACTTTAACAGTGTCACTTGATCGCCGCTTGATATCCAAATGAAAACTTGAGTCTTTAGGGAAAACCAGTTAAGAACAATAGTTCAGGATAGTCCAAGGCCACTGGGAATGTTTTTGTGTGACTTGAGTTCTGAGTTTGAAATTTGGTAGTTGTTTTCTCTTTATTCATTCCTGTTGTGCTTTCTATTATCTAACTACTGTAATTATCGGACATCTTGTCTTTTTAGCGGGCATCTTGGCAGATAACTTTGGCCCAGACTTTCGAGGGGAGACATTTTTCTCCGTTTTTTCCATCTTCTTCCCAGCCGCCACAGGCATTTTGGCTGGAGCCAACATCTCAGGAGATCTAGCAGTGAGTGTCGGCAATTCTTTCCTCAACGCATTTAGTAACTCTTCGTCACAGTCTCTGCAAAGATTCTCTGTAATTGTTTCTTTTCTCTAAGGATCCTCAAATGGCCATCCCTAAAGGAACGCTGTTGGCTATCCTCATAACGGGCCTCGTGTACGTGGGTGTGGCCATTTCTGCAGGTAAACTCTCTCAGAATTGCATATCGTTTTGATTACTCCTGTATTATTGATTGATTTGTATTATGTATTGAATGATTTGTTGAAAGGTGCTTGCATCGTGCGGGATGCTACAGGAATGGAGAGTAACGTAACCCTCAGTGGCTTAAACTGCACTGACGCGGCCTGTAAGTTCGGCTATGACTTCACTTCCTGCAGACCTGTTGAAGGAGGGAAGTCTGCCTGCAAGTTCGGCCTTTACAATGATTTCCAGGTACATCATCGACAGCAGACGTGGCCTTTTCTACATTATCACTCCGTTCCAAATCCTAGTGAGGGTCCTGAGCATCATTTTAAGGCATAACGCAAAAACTCTTCCACTTGGCACACAGCAGAGACTCTGGCCAAATGAAACATTTTATTGGAATGTATTGGTTTTAATTAGGGCTGGGCGATATAGCTAAAAAAATTATAAACGATATAATGTTTCATATTGTTCGGTATCGATAATTATTGACATTTTTATAACCTTTTTTAAAACCAAGAGCAATAGAATTTTTTTTATTTAACCACTGTATTTTTAAATTAACCCAGTTTATTGAGACAAACAACAAATATTTTTAGTTTTAGCAGTCAAACACACAATAAAAATTAAATATCTAATTTCTAATGTTTTATATGCAGATTAAATTTAGTCACTTTTGTCTTGTCTCCCAAGGCCACAGGAGGAAATAGCTGTCTATAAAAAACATGCATTACGTCTAAATTAACTCATATAAATCAAATATAATTTTGTAAATTGCATAAACCATTATGAACAAAATAGTATCATGTGTTTATGCATTGCTTAATCCAAAGAGCCAAAGCGCCATTCACACAGACTGCATTTAAAAACATATGAGACACAGTGAAAAGGAATAAACCTCCACAAATTCGTGACATGTTTTCTAAAAGTTTAAACTGTTTTAACTTTGCATGGCTTTCTATACATCTTTTGTGTGAGACGCGAGTGCAGCAGTCATATTTGTCTGTCTAAAAAATGCGCTGAATATGCGTTCTGTGTGAATGGCTTGGTTTCGGTTTTAATCCATTCAAGATCTTCTCCGCATTGAGCTTCTATATGTCTCTAATATTTTGAATGAATAACGCAGCAGCGGCGCGTCTCGTGGGCTAGACTAACAAAACATTAAAATACAACAATGTCACTTTCATCACCACATCTCGCGCTCCCTGATGCACACCTACCATTCAGATGCAAATGTTTATTTTAAATTCGACTAATATTCATTCTTTATTCACAATCTCCTCATCACAGGCACAGCACTCATTTCAGCATGTGTTCGTGTTTGTGTGTGCTGTCTGCGTCACTCAGAGCATGTGCCTATATTGTGCACTATATCGAACATTTTTTATATGGTTATCGAAGAAGGTGTACCGTCGATAAATATCGATACTGTTTTATCTCCCAGGCCTAGTTTTAATGCAGGTAGAAAACTTTTTTTTTTTTATGAAGTATGCTCACTCTGGGACTTGTTCAGGGTTCCTGCGAGTCCTTAAGAAGTCTTAAATTTAGTTGTATCAAATTTAAGGCCATAAAAAGTCTTAAATTGTACAAGAAAGTCTTAATTATGATTTCAAAAAGTCTTTGGGGAGGGAAATGAAAAAAAGAAGAAAAAAGAAATTGGGGACGGAAAGACCAGAATTGCGATATGGCTTAATTTTCAGTGAGCCTGTTGTTTTTGTTCAGACCAATGCAAAAATCGACCCATGTTTTTACCCTGCAAACACGCAGTGCTGTAAATGTGAATTGGTGGATCGATAAAAAGATAATGCATTATAAAAATCTAAACGGTAAAATGTATTTGTTATTTAATTAATATAATAATTTATTGATAATTGTTTAAATTAATGTAATGAATACTTTTAATTAAAACTTTGTTTTTGTGAAAACTTGTATCTGAACTGTAAATCATGCTTTTTACAGTCATTTTAGAGTTTAATATGTTACTATAGACACTGCTTTACCCCGCTCATATGGTATTCATTTTATTTGTGCAGGTCTTAAAGTCTTAGATTTCAGCTTAAAAATCCTGCAGAAACCCTGTTATTTAGTAAGATTTTACCAGAAAAGGTTAATTCTGAAAGTTAAAAAGGTTATTTTTATGTTAATTTAAAAAATCCTTGTATAATTTTAACTGCTGTATTTTTGTGTTAGCTTCATTTGTATTTTACAACTTAAAATACAATTACAATTACAACTTAAGTTGTAATTAATTTGTAAGTTTTGCCATGAAAATAGCCTTAGATGCTGACATGGCAATAAAAATAAATAATACTAACAGCATTACAGACGGGACGCATCAGGATTGGCAGAGAAAGGCTGTGGTTGTGTGTCTGAATGTCTTGTTCTGCAGGTCATGAGTGTGGTGTCAGGCTTCGGGCCCCTCATCACAGCCGGCATCTTCTCCGCGACCCTCTCCTCGGCCCTGGCCTCTCTCGTCAGCGCCCCCAAAGTCTTCCAGGTGGGCATCTCATGCGCTGCTTCATGTCAGAGACCGCTGTGTGTTTTAACATGTGTGGTTTCGCTCAGTGACGTCAGAACAGGTCTTGCTGGTTTTATAGAGTCTTCCATTTCCTCAGGCCTTATGCAAAGACAATATCTACCCTGGAATTGCAGTTTTCGGGAAGGGCTACGGCAAGAACAACGAGCCTCTGCGAGGATATTTCCTCACCTTTGGCATTGCCTTGGCCTTCATTCTCATTGGTAGGATCTCGACAAATTGCATTAATTTTAATTGGTAGAAATTGTTGTTGAATAAAACGATGGGATGGGTTGATGAGGTCACCTCGCTCTGACACATGCTTGTTTTTAATTTCTCCAGCGGAGTTGAACATCATCGCCCCGATCATTTCCAATTTCTTCCTGGCATCGTACGCTCTCATCAACTTCTCGGTGTTTCACGCGTCGCTGGCCAATTCCCCCGGTAAGACGGTCCTCCACTTGTGCTGTATTCACTCTGTAGACAAGCTGGGTCACGTCTCCACAGACGAGCGCTCAAATATCATTAGTGTCAGGATGGTGCGTAACACCTCAGCCTCGCACGCACCTGATGACTTCACACTGAGAGAGTGTGCTGGTAAAGAAGGGGCTTTGAAACTGACCATTTGTTCATTGGAGGTGTAGTGAAATCAGGTGCTTAACCTTCAGAAATGCTGATGCAAACTGTTTAGTTATTGTATTATTAGTAATGCACTTCACACAGCAGATGGCTTCACAGTAGTGAATACAGTGTCAGTGTCAGTTTCAGTTAGCCCTGTAAAGCAGCTCGTGCCTGTTCACTTTGTTCGAGTTCACTTGAAGCTCACAGAATGAACTTTGTTTTGGCCTGATTTCGTTTGAAGTGACGTGACACCGGTTCGTTCTGTGACTTCTCTTGAAGTATATCTGGGCCTTTACAGTGTTTACCAAACTTTGCAGAGTAACAGTTCCTATACAAGGAGAGTGTAGAGTGTCCATTCCTATAGCTGTGTTAATCAGACCTTTTTTATTCAAATGAAAGAAAGTATTTTCATGTCTGAATGACATCATGTTATTGACTGCATTTCTTGTTTTTGAAGTTTTACATGTTTCTTTATTCTTTGTGTGAAGAGGTTTGTTTGTCCCTCAATACCAAAGCTCTAGAAGACCAGCAGGTAGATATCTTCACTTCTGACACTTTATTAGGTAGAGTCTCTGCACACGATTGCATGAACGTAAAGGGTACGTGTAGCTCTCACTCTCGGATGTGGCTCGTTTAAAGCGCTTCTGTACCCTTTATGTCATGTAGTGTCTGTAACCGTGACTCCACTAAATCCCATTAGTCTAGTACATGTCCTGTGTTCAAGAAGCCTCCCTAGTGGTGGTAACAGCCCGTATGTGTGTTAACTGGTGCTAACTTCATTTAATCAATTCTGTGTTCATGCTTTTGTGAAACTGACTCATTTCAGCTGTGCAAACTGTTGTTAAGGCTGTGACACCGTTAACAGTCTGGTATGAAATGTCTTGAGCAGATTCTGGACGCTCTGATTCTGTGCGGTGGCGTCCCGTTCTTTGTGTCCCACACTGTTGCGTAACGTGGCAGAACGGCACAGTTAGCACTTTCCTACCACAAAGAACCATTGTTGGTTTTATCCCAACTGTTTAGTTGCTCCGTTCCAATACGTGGCTCCCGTTGTGGGGTGTAATTAGGGTATTTTGACCTTCTCCTATGTTGCCAAATGCTCACCCGTAGTACTGCAGCGGATGCCCTGCTGTTTGACTGGAGTCTGAGTGTTTGCTCCGTGTTTGTCAGGATGGAGGCCGAGCTTCAAGTACTACAACATGTGGGTGTCTCTGGCCGGGGCCATCCTGTGTTGTGTGGTCATGTTCATCATCAACTGGTGGGCGGCCCTCCTGACCAACGTCATCGTCCTGTCCCTTTACATCTACGTCAGCTACAAGAAACCAGGTGAACCGGACTGGACCATGAGACACAGCATCAGTTGTTCTTCAGTGCAGCAGCAGTGCTTCATGGGATTGTTGTGGTCTTACAGATGTGAACTGGGGCTCGTCCACTCAAGCTCTGACGTATCATCAGGCCCTGACACACAGTCTGCAGCTGTGCGGAGTAGCTGACCACATCAAAACCTACAGGTAACACAGCCTCCATCAGTGTGAGTGAGTGAGTGGGTGTGAGGGTGGGTGTGGGTGAGGGTGTGGGTGTGGGTGAGGGTGAGGGTGTGGGT